ACCCTCCACCCTCCACCCTCCCTCCAAGCCCACACCTTAATACATAGATCTTAAAACAAGAAAAAAAACACTTGCCGTCGCCGACTCTCTCGCCGGCGATAACAGCTGCTGGAGCCAGGACTCTGTTCTTGGTGAAAACCTCGCCGGCGAGGTTTTGACCAATGCGTTAATTACTGTAAACTGTAAAATGGTTTTCAACCAAATACGGTCTTTACATAATTTTAATTTCGGTAGCAACCGAGACCTGGCTCCAGTAGTTACCCCCCCCTATAACTAATCTCATGTGCAACTAATCCCATGTTACTAATCCGTGTGACGACAGTAGCGGCAACGGCTCTGGGAGTAGGGGCGCGTTTATCGATCGATATGTAATTGGGGCTCCATAACCAAAGCATGTTGCAATACGGGAACAAAGCATGCTGCAATACCCGGAAGCCTCTTCTACACAGCCGTCAGGGGTGTAACCGACCTATGCTAACCCCATGTTACTAACCCGTGTGACGACAGCAGCGGCAACGGCTCTGGGAGTAGGGGCGCGCTCATCGAATATTATTATGATTATTATTATGAAATACCAGAGGGCGGAACCTCTAAGAAAATACGCAATTTGGGGGACAGTCCCCCCCGCGATAGCTGTGTAACGAACTTCATGCAACTAACCCTCTGTAACTTGCCCCGTGTGGCGACAGCAGCGACAACGGCGTGCGGTTTCTTTTGAACTGAGCTATTCCTATTAATACGCGAAATTCAACCCACCCCGTGTTAACAAACCCCACGTTAGCGGTGTAACTAACCTATGCTAACCCCATGTTACTGTGACGACAGCAGCGGGAACGGCTCTGGGAGTAGGGGCGCGCTCATCGATCGGACAGAACACGAGCGTTTGCAGGTACTTTAATCGAATCGAATCTAATCATATATATATATTTTTATGATTACAGCCTATTTTCCATTTTCATCTTATTCGGACGGCCCTCGGAGAAAACAGGCCGATGATGATTATGATGATTCATGTATTAGCGGTTCAGCATGGTTTCACAGATGGTGTTCACTCACTGACTTGGTCGGATATATGATGATTAAGATTCTATTGATACTTTTGTTATTGGGACGGTATCCGTGGGCTCGAGCAATTAGGTCCCTTGGCCCGAGTGTTTCTCAACTCTTGGGTTCGGTGGAGACCTGCTTGGGAGCGGACGTTAATCTAGAAATTTATTCCGCTCGAGTCCTCTCATCGACGTCAGTTCATAACGACGTCACTCTTGCGAGTGAATCCGCCGTGCCCGCAGGTACCTCCAGCTACGCCTATGCACTGAAGGCCCTAGAAATTTACATGCGATTGCTATTACTCTTCATGCCCGCACGTTTCGGGCTGCAAGTCGGGGGACGATAAAGAAACAATTATTTAAAATTCTTAATCGTCGATCGGGCAGAACACGAGCGCTTTCAGCTAACATGATAATAACAGTCTAATAATCATTATTATTATGACGATGATGATGATGATGATCATCATCATCATTATTCTAAGCAGTTTTAGAGAGGACGCGTGCCCCCCCACTGTCTATAAGCATCTGTTCGAATTGCTAAGGCTATTTCGAGCTTCTTGGACTGAGCGACCCCCCCCCTCTCCCTCCCCCCCCCCCACACACACAGGCCGCCTTGGAGAGGACGCGTGCTGAGCTCAGTGCGCGTGACTCGTCTCTTTCTGAAGCACGCACTGCTCTGGCCAAAGCTGAACAGGTATTTAATACTGTCGCCTTATGTTTGCTTACGAAATACCCTGTGTCACAATCACCCGACGATTTTAGGCCCATACCCTTGTGTATCTTCCTTGATTGTGACTGCTGAGCGGCAGTCACAAGGGTATCTTTGTGACAATAACCTTGTGTATCTTCCTTGTGTCACTGCTGAGCGGTGGGATCCATTACCCCCCCCACACCCCCCCCCCCCCCCCCCCCCCCCCCCCCCCCCCCCCCCCCCCCCCCCCCCCCCCCCCCCCCCCCCCCCCCCCCCC